GTCTGTGGCTCCATTTGAACTCAGGTCTTTCTGATTCCAGGCCCAGTGCTCTTTCTGCTCAGTCACCTAGCTAATTCTGACAGATAAGGTTGATTTGAATTCTCAATTAATGTAATTTGGATCTGTCTGTGGCCCTTCATAAAACTGTTAGAAAAATATCACCTTCACATTATAAATTAACTTAATGTTTATACCCCAAGAATGCTCAGAATGTTTTTTATCTGTATCAGGAAAAACAAATAAGTATTAATGACAGTGATAAATTTGCATACATATTTGAAAAAATTGTTTAACTGTGAATTAGGACATGAAGAGTCAAGACCATATTCAGAGAGATTTTTTTTTTTAAATAGCTATGTGACCTTTGGTGTATAATTGTAATGAGAAGATATTTGAACTGATAATTAAATTTAAATACAGTGGAATGTATGGGGAAATAGACAAAAATCCAAGAGCTACCCCATACGGTTAAAGAGCACTGGATTTGGAGTGAGAAGATCTGGGTTCAAATCCCACCTCTGTCACTTAGTACTCTGTAACCTTGGGCAAGTCACTAAACCTCTCTTGGGCAAATCACTTAACTGCTCAATGCCTCAGTTTCCTCATCTGTAAAAAGGGATAATAAGAACACCTATATCACAGGGAGGTTGTAAAGATCAAATGAAATAATTATATATAAAGAGCTTTGTTTAAAGCCCTATATAAATGCTAGCTATTATTATTATTATTATCATTAAGGTTTCCTCATAAAAACTTGGTAAGGTGAGTAAAGCAAACATTTTTATGCCCATTTTACAGATGAAGAAACTGAGCCTGAAAGAGGTTAAAGTGACTAGTTAGTTTGTGATGGAACCAGGACTTAAACCTGGTTCTTGTGACTGCAAGGCAATGAGTCCTCTACCAACTATATAACAGTACTGCAATAAGCCTTCAAATCAAACCCAGTTCCATATCCTCACCATCTGCAAGACTGTTAGTTTCCATGGTGGAGAGCAATTTGAGTACAGATCAGACAGATCTTAGTGTCCCACAGGGTGACAATCTGATCCCAGTCCATTGTTCATATCAACCCTTCACCTGGGCTTGAAAAAACTTCTGGCCTTTCTTTAGTACTATCATTACTTGGGTATCTATATGTCCCAATTCTTAGTTTCTGGGAGAAATTGAAAACATCTTAGAGTCCCTACAAAGTCATGTTAGTTGATGGGAATGGCACTGATTTGGCTGGTCAATGGGGTTCAAGATGACCCAGGACCAAGAAAGAAGTTTGTCCCAGGATTTGGAGAATAAAGGAAAAACAGCCTAGGCAAGACATTTTAAGAAAATGCTCTCTTAACATAAAGCACTCTTTTTTAAGGGGTGGTGAGAGAGGAGTAAACATTTCCTTAAACTTCTAAATTTACTATGTTCTGCAGACCTAGATTCAGAAGGCAAAAAGGCTCAATATTCCAAGCTACTAATATCTATAACCAAAAACATAGAGGAAGAGACTATATAGGAAAGGTGAATTGAGAGTTGAGAGAATTATGTAGGTAATTTAGGAGGGAAAAAAAAAAAACTTTTAAAGCCAGTAGACAGGATAGCAGTAATTTATCCTGAAAATAAATTGTCCAGAATGGTAGTCTATCCTTGCTAGTGCAGATACTAAGAGACAGAACTTTGAGTGTTCAAAATGAGGCTTATCTAGAAAACCATTTGTCCATGGTATAATAGGTTCATTCCAGAATCTTCCCTAGGTATGTGTGTGTGTGTGTGTGTGTGTGTGCTCGAGCACGCGCCCATATCTCTTCCCCACCCTCTTTACCATGTCACTTACAATTCAAATAGAAAAGCTACAATCTCCTTCATATTTTAAAGTTCCTGAGGAATGACCAGTGAAGTAAGAACACAGATTGGGGAGTCTTTACCCTCCTGTCTTTTTCTCTGACCAGTCTTACTATAGAAAGCCTATTACTGGCCTACATTCTCCCATCCTCCACCCCCATCCCCCAACTTCCTAGGCTAATAGCTGCCAAACCACTACTTGTAATACACAGCCACATGGTGATGTTTCATCTTAGTGTCCCTGTATGAGAAGAGAGCAAAAGAGGAACCGAGCTTGTTTTCTCGGTACTCAACCAGTCACACCTCTCAATTTTGAGCGCAAGCCACAAGCTTTGGGCACACCCCAAACATTGACCATGCCCCAACTCTGGATACATGGCAAACCGGACAATGCCCCCTAATTCTGATCCCATACCCCCTTAATCCTGACCACATACCATCAAATTTGACCACATATCCCCAATCTCAATTAGATTCATTGTCCCAGACCACATCTCCCTCCCCCTACTCCAAAGCTTTCTACCCTTCAACACTGAGCACACCCACAAACTCTGATCACAGTTCCCCAACCTTAACCGAACACTCCTACCATTAACTAACTACATTCTTAAACAGAAATCATACCCCACACTTCCAGTCCTAGTCCATAGTATTTTTAACCTGACTCCCACTTACCCATGTTTGAGGAGTTGGGGAGAAGGAACAGAGGAACTCAAGGGAAGACAGAAGAAAACAGATAGCACAATTTGTACCTTGGGGGAAGAGTAGAAGTAAAATGAAAGCCAACAAAAGAATAAGACTCAAGTTTCCTTTCTCCAAAGCATCTTAGTGTACTGAAAGGAGCACTGGAAAAAGCCAGGGGGTCTAAGTAGCACTCAAGCTCTGCTACTATGTGAATATGGGTTCAGGCAAGTAAAATTATTGTATATAGGATGTTAATAAAGTATTTTTCCGTGTATTGGGAGGTGTATTAAATTAATAATAAGCGAATAATCCATTTATGTGCAGATGGACCAGAAAAGTGAGGTTTTTAGGACTGTTGGTCTGACCAGGCACAGAACTGAAATAAGATTAATAAATTAATTCACTTTGTCTCATCAGGGGAAAGGAGGTCTTTTATTACAATTGGGAGAAGAGAACAACTATTTTCTCACGCCTTTGTTGGTTTAGTGTAAAATGAAAAGAAAAAAGTGTCTGCGTAATTAACAGCAAGCTTAGACAAGTACTTCCTAACATATAGTGCTCATTCAGCCCCTGTCACGCCATACTCCAGACCTGAGTCCTGGCCTGCGGGACTATTATTTATCTTTGTTTACTTGCAGCCCTTAGCAGTTAAGTCTGGGCTGTATACACAGTGTCAGCAATTGTGGAGGGCAGGACTTTCATATATTTGATGATAAGGTCTGAATTCCTGAGAAGGAGCTTCAGGCAGCCCAGTAAATGAGAAGAGTTAAAGATTAAAAATGATTTGTTGATAGGAAGTTTGTTCTTTGCCGGAGCAGTAACAGGCTCTGGGTGTGGAACTACGGGGTGAGAGAGAGAGAGAGAGAGAGAGAGAGAGAGAGAGAGAGAGAGAGAGAGAGAGAGAGAGAGAGAGAGAGAGAGAGTATTTCCACTGTCTGGCTAGCTGGGTGGGGGAGCTTCCAACAAAGAAAACCCAGCCCCCCGGTTTTTGTCACATCCCGGGGCGAGACACTCTCTTTTCTGTTCCTCCCCCCTTGCACACAGTCAGTACGGTTGGCTCTAGTAACAACAAATTAAACCCCAGAGACCCGAGAAGAAAAAAAAATTACAGGAAGAGGCGAGCGAAGAATGTGCAGAGTAGCTGGAGAGCGCCGGTGTCCCCGGGTGAACCCGACTCGGCCCGGGCTCCTCCCCTTGGTTTCCCTCCCAGCCCCTCCCAAATTCACTTGGGCTGGGAAAAGGAGGGGGTGGAGGGAAAAGAGGGCTTTCCCCAGTAGTTTGCCTAGTCCCTCACCCAGCCGATAACTCCGAAAAAAACGTGCGGCTTCATTTTCCTGGCGTTCTACAAGGAGAATGCAGAAAGGCTCCGAGGGCTGGCGCCGGGCCACTCCCCTCCCGGAGTCGCCGAGGAAGTGGGACAGGACCAGGCCGGAGCCATCCACCTGCCCCTCGGACGCGCAGCCCGGCTCCCCGCCGCCTCTCGCGCTGTCTCTCCCTGAGGCTAGCCTTTGAGCCACTAAAGTGGGGCGGGGTCCAGGCTCCTAGTACAGGGCGCCTTTTGCTGCTCCCCCTCAGCCCCGACCACCACCGATTTCACCCTACAACCACCACTTGTTGTCCCAGCCCCTGCGCCCGACCCCGATCATCTCCTAGCTTGCTAAGAAGGGTAGGGAGACGGGGTTCTCTGGTCCTCCACCTCCTGTTACCCCACCACCTCAGCCGTGATGGCTTCCCACGAGCCCCACTGCCTCTACCACAGGCAAGTTCCCGGGTTTCAAGGCGCACCCTGAGAGCTGAGGAGGATACTGGATAATGAATGAGAAGACTTGGAAGGGAAAGGAAGGCAAAATTGGGTTCAAGGTTTCTAGGAAGCTGACGGGATCCAGAACTGATGGAAGGTAGCCGGGGTTGGAGCAGTACCGGTGTACCTCGCTGTATGCACTAGTTTCCGGGCAAAGTTTTGTGTAAATCGAATTTTTGTAAACCAGATCACATTGTGTACGCGTTGGAGTCACTACTTTAAGCAATTTTACGTAAACCCTTTTTCTGAAGGGTTGAATCATTTTGAGATGAGAATAATCCCACCCCCCCGGGGGTTATTTCCCGTATAAAATCCCAAATAGTGCTGTATCGAGTTAGCTTACAGCGGGGTACAGCTGTAAAGAGGACAGGTAACTTGTGAGTGGGGAAGGCGAAAATAAGCTGAACCGAAAAGGTTTACTACTATTTACAATCTTGACACCTGGGGGACAGGGATGATGCGAAGTGGATAAGGACTAGTGTCACTTACTGTCCACGGCACTAACACGCCACTTTATTCTCGTCACTTTAAAACATTAACAACAACCGGGGAGAAAAGGTGTTAGTTCACTGAGTGTCTGGCACCAGGTGTCAGCTTGAAACGTACAAGAGACAAATCCTAACGTTGGCCTTGGGGGGTGCCACTCCTTACACAGTTTAATGGCTAAGCCACCGGCAGGCTGGGGACTGACCTGTATGAGTCCTTAGGTGAGCTTTGAGGTGGGAGGATTTGCCATAAACTTTTTCGCAGCCCGCGTAGTGGCATCTGTGCTTTTTCTGAGGTGACTCGGGGTCAGCTCGGCTTCTCCCCCGTCTGCTCCTTTGTTTGAGGCTGGGCTCGCTCCCTGCTGGACTAGTAGGTGTGGCTGCTTCTCCACTCCATCGGCTGTCCGGGGAGGCGGCTTCCTGAGCCGGCTCCCCCGACGGAGAGAGGCGGCTAGGTAATTTCTCCTTTTTGGAGACATTTTCCCTCCTCTCCGTCGGCGGGGCAGGAGCTGGGACGTGTTGGTTGAGATCAGCTAAAATCCTGGCCACCACGATCAAAGAGGCGTTGTCCTTGCCAGTCTCTCTGCTTTCTCGCCTGTCTTCAACATTCGGAAAAGGAGGGGCTGCTGTGCCTTCGGGTGAGGTGTCGGGGTCCTCTTTGGGACTATGGACAATCGCGCGGTTGGACATGGAAACAAGGCACTCGGCTGCAAAATGATCCACATAGGCGGCGGCTGCCATTTTACAGAGAAATTGTTTGTTTTAATCTCGAATTGCACTTTTTCTCTCTTTGCATAAAAATATATATATAAATATATCTCTATATATCCAAGCTGGTGGGCGGAGGGGGTGGGGGATGGGTCTTCTCTCTCTGGGCACGCTGCGTACTGTGAGTGCTGGGTTTGTAGCTTTACCAAAACTGCACTTCGTCCAGGAAGATCCCACCCGGCCGGTCATTAAAAAGTGAATGCATTTGAAGTCCAGTGAAAGGAAAGAGAGGAAATCCCAGCTCAGGAAGCTGCGGCTTCATCGGCTTCAAAAGCTGATTTTTTTTTTTGAAGGATGCCAAATAATAAACATAAAAAAAAATAATGCTGCTGGTCTACCCCTTCCCTTGCATTGTGACAATACAACAAGCTTTGCCCGTTATTGCTGCTCTGAGGGTGTTTCAATCCCGGGTGTGGGCGTGGTCTGGGGAGAACATCTGGGCCCGACGTCACTCCAGAAGCCACATCCTGGGGCAGATCAGGTTAAAAAACGTTCAGCTGCGGCTGAGGCTGCAAAGCTGCATGTGAGGAGTAGGCAGGACCTTTGCATAGAGAGAGATATGTGGCTTGTGAGCACGGGAGGGAGGCAGCCAGTACTGGCAAATGAAACAGAGGTCTCCATTGGCCCGGGGAAGGTATCGCAGGAGCCAATCAGCGGCACGATGGGGAAACTTCTACAGTTGCAACTTTCCTGGAACCAATCGGATTCCTGTTACAGGAGAGCCGAACCGCGAGGACAGAAATTTGAGATAAGCTCTTGGCTCGCACCTCCAGAAACGCAGCCGGAGGGTTTCAGGGTGTAGTTTTGTGGAGATGCTCACACCCTAGCCCCACCCTCACCGCCACCCTCGAGCCTTGGGCATCTTATTCAAGGGCTTGGGCAACGATACAATCTCATTCTTAGCTCCCCTGTCATCTGCCTGCAAAAGCTGTCCAGCTACCTCAGGAAAGCCGACCATTTACGCAATTACGTCCTTTGATTACTGTTTGTGGTATCTCTGCTTCGGCCTTTACAAATACACATAAATATATATTAATATACCTTACATATATAAAACCCCTTCCTACCTAGATTTGCAAACTGAGCAGGAGCAAAATGAGGTATGTTTGCAGAGGATTTGAGCCTGGTACTCGACCTGAGAGGACTCTAAAAAACACGCTCACCTAAGCAAGTGTTCTGAAAGGTCTCCAATCCCACCTGTCAGGAACTCTGCCTCTAAATCACCAGCAGGCAGGGGCCCAAAAGCCTGGAACTATTGAGACCTAAAGATTCCATTACACCCCCCCCCCCACACACAGACACACACCCCTAGCTCCTATACAAATTGCTGCCTCAGTGATCTGTCCAGACGCAAGGAAACACAAGACAAAAACCAAGAACTCGTGTTCCCCTACACATCAAGGCTTGAGACAAAAGGGGAAATGGAAGCGTTTTTAAAATATATTCTCGACCCTTGAAGCCCCGTCCACCTCATCCCCAGCAATCTACCTCTTGTAGCTTTGTAGAGCTTGTGAAGAATCAGGATTTTGGAACTGGACAATGCTTTTAGAGATTACAGTCAAACCTAACTAGGTTAGAGGCAGTGTACAGAGAAGAACTCGAGTCTTCTGATTCCTGCTTTATTGATCTTGACTAAACCGCTTGATGGAGAGGAAGAGAACTGAAAGAGAGGACTGAAGGGAAGAGCAGGAGGAAGGCTAAAGAATTATTTGCTCTCTACTAAGAAGTAGAAGCAGGGTGAAAGATATCAAAAGAAAGAATAAGAATAATTCTCTCTCTGTATGTATCTCTCTCCCTTCTCTGTCTCTCTTTGTCTCTCCCTCCCTCCTTCCCTCTTTCATTCCCCCTTCCTCCATCTCTCTCTCCCCCCTTCCCCCCCTCCCTCTTTCTCCCTTCTCCCTTCCTCTCTCTTTCTCTCACTTCCCTCTCCTCACAACCGCACCTATTTACCACTTGAAGTTCCCCATTCTTCCTTTCTTCTTGAAGCTACTGAGACTTCAAAAACCACCAAATTCTGCAGGCCAAAGCCACAGAACCCCACCCCACTATCAGGATTTCTAGTGGGAAATGCTCAGCTATTGCTATCCCTGTGGGCTTCTTGCTATGTTTGTCAGACTTTCCCTGAAGTATTTTTGTTTACTTTTAAAATTTTTATTAATACATTTTATTTTTACAAAATATTTTCCTTCATATAGCCCTCCCAGGGTTGTTGTGAGGATAAAACAAGATAATATTTTAAAAGCACTTAGCACAGTGCCAGGCACAAAGCATGAAATTATTAAATACAGTACTTGAGTCCTGCCTTATCTTCCCTCTTTTCCCTGCCCTACCCAAGGAGCCATCCCCTGTACCAAGAATAAACAAAGAAAAAAAAAGCAGTTCATCGAAACAAACCAACATTAACTAAGTCTGAAAGTACCTTTTCACCTTGAAGAAGGTAGTATTTCATTTTCTCTAACTCAGAAGTAATATAATAAAGCACCTGGCACACAGTAGGCCTTTAAATAAAAGTTCTTTGACGTGAATTTGTAGCTGCTTGGAGAATTTCAGAAGAGAACAAAATCATGCCATAGAATATAGGATTGAACACTATAACCAGTATTTCTCTCTGGGCCAGGGTTGAGATCAGGTTCAATTTTTTTTTTTTTTGTCAACTCTATTACCTGTGTGAACTTGGGTAAGTCATGAAACCACGAAACTTTTCCGGCTCAATTAAAAGATGGTATTGGATCTTAAATCCTATATTCTATGGCATGTCTCTATTCTCTCCCCATATTCTCCAAGGCCTCTACAAATTCAAGTCAAAGATCTTATATGCCAGGTGCTTCACTATATAAAAACAAAAACAAACAAACAAACAAAAAACCAGTCTCTGCCCAGAAGGAGTTTACATTTTACTGGTCAAATGACTGACTGACTGAACATAACATATGCAAAGTGCTTTGAAAACCTTAAAGCATTTTATAAATGCTAGCTATAAATTATTAATTATTGGCATTATTTCAGACAACTGCTCCTTCCCCAGTTCTAGCCTACCCACCAGATAAAAACAAATAGCTTTCACAGACTCCACTAAACAGCTCTCCCAAATCTGGCCTTAAAAAAAATGCCTCTGGGCCTACTCTACCAACTGCAGTGTAACCTATGCCTCTCTTTCCCCCAAAAGAAAGTGTGAACTGAGATCTCCCAGGGACCTGGGGACAATCATCCAAGTGTAATGCTAATGTTAGTGGCTATGCTAATGGTGGTGCTGGAAAATACAATAAGTCAGGAAATGTATACTGGGGGGGGGGGGAAGACTCACTGCTGCGTCCGTCTCAGGAGGAAGCTCTCTAACAATTAGAGACACTGGTTGGGAAGAAGGGGAGGAGGGTATAGAACAAAGATGTTGAACAAAGGTAAGTTATTAGAAAGAAGGAAGCCTGGTGCTGGGGGGGCGGGGCTGCATGTCCCCCAGAAGGAAGAGTACTTTCAAAGTAACTCTATGAGAACCTGCTGAGTTAGGGTTCAGGTGTGAGCAATTGTGTCCTGGAACTAAGGTGGGGGGGGGGGGGTTGTTCGAGTCTACATCTAAAGGATTGTTTTCCTTATTCCCCAAAGAATTTAGGAGGACTATCTCTGTCTTGGACCGGAAGGAGAAATAAAGGCATCTATCATTTCCCTAACATCCATATGGTTGGTACCTTGAGATCTCCTGCCACTGGTTGCGTATTTTAAAGATTAGTCTGAGCATTTTGTGCTGGAGTGAGAACCTGATGAACTGAAGATGGAGAAAAAACATATGAATCTAGGTCTTTGACCTTTTCTTTCACTGGAGGACAGTCAATTCCAGAATTCGTCACATGAAGTATTTTGGACCTTTCTTCATAGGACTGACTTTTATTCTTAATGGATTGGGATCACACCTTCTGAATAATTTATATAAAAGCTTTTGCCCTGTCCAGATAACAATTCAAACTGTTCCATGACTCATATAACATACGATGAGAATTCTTGGGATCTTAGATTTTAGAGCTGAAAGGGACCTTAGAAGCCATCAAGTTCAACCTCTTCGTTTTCCAGATGAAGACACTGAGGCAAGGAGAGCTTTGACTTGCCCAGGATTATATGGCTAAGACCTATCTGATGGAAGATTCAAATTCAGGTCTTTCTAACTCCAAGTTCAACACTTTGAAACCTAACTGCCTCTATTTATTCATTCATTTAGAAAATCTGGTTCTAGTCTTACCTCCCAACCCACAAACCCTCTGTGTCATCCAAACTGAATTACTCACTCTCCCCCAAAATGCCTTTTGTCCTTACCTCTGCACATGTCACCACCCCCTGTTCTTTTCCACCTGAAAAATCTCTGCCCTTCATTGAATGAATGAATGAATATGCATTTAAGTATTAAATATATACAAGCTACTGTGCTAAATGCTAGAGATACAAATAGAAAAAGTTTGCCCTCAGGGAGCTTACTTTCTAATAGAATACAACACATAGAGGGGATTGGCAACCAGGAAGGGGTGTTTGTCAATGAATTTAGAGACTTAGTGAATGGAGGTTAGGAGTCACTTCATCCATGAAGCTTTCTTTATCTACCTCAGTCTACAATGATCTCTCCTTGCTCTGAACTTCTATAGCACTTATTGCCTGTAACACTTATTTAAGAAATGTATTGTCTTATGGTTTTTGTTATTTTTCTCCTCAACTTTATAGAATGTTCATGAAGTCTCCTTTGCATTCCTGGCCAGGACCTAATACAGAGCCTAGTATATAACCAATAACTCAGTAAGTGAGAGGTAGTCTGGTGAGGGAGGCAATGCCAGAATCTAGGTTCAAATCCTATCTCTGACATTTACTAGTTGTATAATCCTGGGTAAGTAACTTTACTTTTCTGAAACTCACTTTCCTAAGCTATCATAGGGGATACTGATATTTGTGCTCCAGTAGGATTGTTGTGAGGTGGGGGCAGCTAGGTGGTGCAGTGGATAGAGCACCAGCCCTGAAGTCAGGAGGACCTGAGTTCAAATTCAGCCTCAGACCAAACACTTGACACTTAGTAGCTTTGTGACCCTGGGCAAGTCACTTAACCCCAATTGCCTTTAAAAAAAAAAGAAGACGAAAGGATTGTTGTGAGGAATGTATATTGTAAACTTTAAAGCATTGTATGATGTATAAATGGGAATTCACAGGAACATAGATTTAGATCAGGAAAGGACCTAACAAGTCAAGTAGCTCAACACCCCCATTTTACAGATAAGTACCCTGAGGCCAAAAGTGATAAAGTGACTTGGCCAAGGTCAAGCCATATGTATGGGGTGGTTATTAGAATGTTCTCCCTCCTCCACTCCAACTACCAACCTATCTATTTT